GCCGGTTTTTTCTCCCGGAGATTCTACGCACCCCTGCCCCTTTGAAGGGGCGCCGGGAACTCGGGGCCATTTCTCTTATTTTCTGAGTCATGGTGCGAACAAGGGGTGGTGGTAGATTTTACGCCGCTACCATACGGCGAGGAGCCGAGTCTATTTTTTCGGCTTCGTCGCTCGTTTAGCACCACCCGGGGGACACGTGTAGTAAAATATTTAACTATCTTTTAAATTGACCGTAAACTTATTATTTTTTAAAGTAACGATAATTTTGTGTTTATAGCAGCAAGTATGACGTATAGAAGTAAAGACAATCTTGTTTACATGTCTCGTTTCCAAAACCTGTTATTTAATAAAGTTTATCTATTTATTGCTTTCTATGCACAGATAATTCAAAATGTTATTGGCGAACTCAGGCATTGTTATAATGTAGAGTTATTACGTGATAAAATCCAATATTGACATTACCCTCAATATCTACTGTTATTAACCGTATGGGAAGGATCATGATACCTTCATATCTAGACGAAAGTATAATAATTTTAGATAATATTTTCATACAAAGCTGTCAGCAAATCCCTGCAATTTATAATAATTAATCCTTACTTAAAAACATTAATGTGGTTTCTAATATAGCTAATGTATTTTAAGCGGAAGAATTATTTTTAAAAGGAAGGGAGAAATCCCTTGGTTTCCTAATAATTCTTACCTAAATGGAATTGCCGTGTAGTGGCGGTTAAGAATATCCACTACCCCATATCTTCCCGTGGGTGTCGTAAGAGGCGACAGAGGGAGACAGGCAGGAGATGGGCAGCAGCGTCTTCCTGATGACAACTGTGACGTAATAAAAAACTGCGGTTGCCAACCCGCTCGCCAAGCGTGGCAACTATGGCAAATACCCCCCAATGAATAAATACACAAACAGACGGCCCCCAGTCCCCGGCGGCCCCGCTATTCCTGGCTACGGCGGCGACCATGGTAACGGCGGGGCAGGGGGTGCTAAGAATCTCCGGTGGAGGTTCGGTTGCCACCTACGACGACTCGACCTGGCAACATATAACGCACGCACCCTGAGGACTGACGAGAAGATACTGGAGCTGGAAGAAGAGGTAGACAAGTTGCGCTGGCATATTATTGGATTATCCGAGGTCCGAAGAGAGGGGGAGGACACGGCAATCCTCGAGTCCGGCAACTTGTTCTATCACCGGGAGGGCGACCATCTGTCCCAAGGAGGTGTCGGATTTATCGTCCACAAATCTCTCGTCAACAACGTTGTAAAGATTGGGAGTGTGTCGACGAGGGTCGCGTACCTGATACTCAGAATCACCAAACGGTATTCGCTGAAGGTCATTCAGGTTTACGCACCAACCTCGGCACATCCCGATGAGGAGGTGGAGGAAATGTATGAGGATATTTCCAGAGCCATACATTCCTCCAAAACCTACTACACGGTGTTGATGGGAGACTTCAACGCAAAACTGGGCACAAGAGAAAGCGGTGAGCTGAAGGTAGGGAAATTTGGAGTAGGGCAACGGAACCGAAGGGGCCAGCAGCTGGCCGACTTTATGGAGAAAGAGGAACTCTTTATGATGAACTCTTTCTTCCAGAAGCGGCCCCACAGGAAGTGGACCTGGTCGAGCCCCGACGGTTCGACAAAAAATGAGATTGACTTCATTATGACGACCAGACGCCAACTGTTCAGTGATGTCTCAGTGATCGCAAGGGTGAAAACTGGCAGCGATCACCGAATGGTTAGAGGCACACTGAACCTAAACGTTAAGTTGGAGAGGTCTCGTCTAATGAAGTCAACGCTCCGTCCCCCTCGTGCTCTAATCCAGAATCCCGAAACCTTTCAGCTCGAGTTACGTAACCGCTTCCAGTGCCTAGAAGATTGCAATGCAGTGGACGATATGAACGACAAGCTCGTGGAAACTGTCCATGCGGTCGGAGCTAAGTTCTGCAAGACCCGCCGCAGAAGAACACAAAAACTCTCCGATCACACTCTTAATCTCATGGCTGTTAGACGGGAGATGAGGCTGCAATCGTCAACAGATTTGACAGCATACAGGCAACTGAACAGACAGATCTCCAAATGCATACGGCGAGACTTACGCAACTTTAATACTTCTCGTATTAAAGAAGCGATCGAGCGGAACCAGGGCTCCAAAGTCTTTGCCAGAGATCTGGCTGCCAGAAAGAGCCAACTGTCAAGGCTGAAGACTGAGTGTGGCAACATCGTTTCCGGGACACCTGAGATTTTGAGTGAGATTGAGAGGTTCTATGGGCAGCTGTACACATCATCGTTGGAGCCACACCCAAGTGTGAGTAACGATCCAAGAGCAAGTCTTATCCGACACTATTCCGATGATATCCCGGACGTCAGTCTAAGCGAGATTAGAATGGCTCTCCAGCACCTTAAAAACGGCAGGGCCCCAGGCGAGGATGGAATTACAGCGGAGCTTCTGAAAGCGGGTGGAACACCGGTACTTGCAGTCCTTCAGAAGCTCTTCAATTCCGTCCTCCATGGTGGCACTACTCCAGAGGCGTGGAGCAGAAGTGCGGTGGTCTTGTTCCTTAAGAAAGGCGACAACGCTCTCTTAAAGAACTACAGACCGATTTCCCTTCTGAGCCGCGTCTACGTGCTGTTTTCGAGAGTCATTACGAATCGTCTCGCACGCAGACTTGACGACTTCCAGCCTCCCGAACAAGCCGGTTTCCGAAAAGGCTTCAGTACCATAGACCACATACATACCCTGCGGCAGATTGTACAGAAGACTGAAGAGTACAATCTGCCACTTTGCCTGGCGTATGTGGACTATGAGAAAGCCTTTGATTCCGTCGAAATTTGGGCGGTGCTACAGTCCCTTCAGCGGTGCCAAGTTGACTGTCGGTATATCGAAGTGCTGAAGTGTTTGTACAGTAGGGCTACGATGGCTATCCGAGTACAGAACCAGAGCTCGAAACCTATCCAACTGCAGAGAGGTGTAAGACAGGGTGACGTTATATCCCCGAAACTCTTCACCGCTGCATTGGAAGACGTTTTCAAGCTACTGGACTGGAAAGGATACGGTATTGACATCAATGGCGAGTACATCACTCACCTTCGATTTGACGACGATATAGTCCTTATGGCAGAATCGCTGGAGGACTTAAGCACTATGCTCAATGACCTCAATAGTGCCTCCCAACGGATAGGTCTTAAGATGAACATGGACAAAACAAAGATCATGTTCAATGTCCATGTCACACCTATGCCGGTAGTTGTTGGGAGCACTATGCTCGAAGTTGTTGACGAATACGTTTACCTGGGACAAATAGTCCGACTAGGTAAGTCCAACTTCGACCGAGAGGTCAATCGACGGATTCAACTCGGCTGGGCAGCGTTCGGGAAATTACGGCATATCTTTTCGTCAGGTATACCTCAATCTCTAAAAACTGGATTGTACAACCAGTGCGTGTTGCCAGTGATGACTTACGGATCTGAGACGTGGTCCTTCACTGCTTGCCGTATGAGGACGCTTAAGGTCGCTCAGCGAGCTATGGAGAGGGCTATGCTCGGAGTTTCTCTGCGTGATAGACTCAGAAATGAGGATATCCGCAGTAAAACCAGAGTGACCGACATAGCCCAACGGATTAGTAAGCTGAAGTGGCAATGGGCCGGCCATATAGCTCGAAGAACCGATAACCGATGGGGAAGAAAGGTTCTCGAGTGGCAGCCTCGTACCGGTAGGCGTAGTGTAGGGCGACCCCCACTAGATGGAGTGACGACCTGGTAAGACATGCAGGAAGTCGATGGATGCAGGTGGCTCAGGACCGTGCTTTGTGGCATTACTTGGGGGAGGCCTATGTTCAGCAGTGGACTTGTGAAGGGCTGTAATGATGATGATGATGAAATGGAATTCTAAATTTTCGAAGATTTTCAAATAAAAAGAATATTTAACCCTAATTTCTGCGTAAATTAAAATAGGGAAATAATCAACATGTTACATTATCAAACAAGAAAAAGTAAAATATGTAGGCCACCATGTTTATTTATATTCTATTTTACTCGGGAAATATATTGCTTTCAAAGACATTTAAGTATGTAGTAGTAATAGACCGGCAATAAGCAACAAAATTGTCGTCTTGAACTTTTGTCCTATAGGATATATCTCTGATTTTTGTCATTTAGTCTTAGTAACATCATCAAAAGGTCAAGACGCTTTCGTTTCATAATTTTAAAAAATATTTTTAAAGAAAATATTCGCGGGGCATTAAGGTATTGTAAGTCACGATATGGAGCACAAAACGAACATGATTTCTGATAGAATCAAGCGTTACTTTGCGGAAATACACTATAATAAAGATATTGTTAATTTGCAATCATCTCTAACTAAATACAATGATGTGTCTTACCCGGATTGAAAACACATCACTGTATTTAGTTGGCGGATGGTTGCAAATTAATTAATATCTTTATTAGAACATGATTTCGTTTCATTATCGTAAGAATAATGTATATTTACCAAATAATCTTTAAATTTTATTATTTCTAGTAGAATGTTCTAGAAGAAAGAAAAATTATTGCAATGAGTGCCCTCTGATATCCAGTAAAGTCACTATTTATTTATCAATTTGTTAGTAATTGACGACGTGCCTAAAACGGATTTTTACCTTATAATTAGTATCGTCACCTAATGGGGAATAGCTGAAATGTTATCCAAATAAGTATTGAGCGTAGTATTGCTATGTTTTGCAAGAGGGTGTAACACACGCGGGAGCTCACAGGTTATGTACGTAAATGTTCCCAATACCAGCTCTATAGTATATATATTTAAATCTCTTTGATTGCTTTATTTTCTGAAAAGGAATGCTGGTGATATTATTAGTACTAGCAATATTCTTGTTAATTACTCAAACAAAGCGTTTGAAGATTGTCTTAGAAATCAACGACCTCTTCACACCGTCGAAATGGGAAATTAATTAGACTTATATTGTTCTATATCAAAATTTCATTTCACCTACAGATGTTGCCGAACAAGGACCAGGCTTAGCATTCGTTGCATATCCAGAAGCGTTACTTCAGATGCCTATACCACAGTTTTGGTCTATTCTGTTCTTTTTAATGTTGTTTATTCTTGGACTCGGCAGTCAATTTGCTGGTATAGAGGCTATTAACACCGCGATAGTTGACCAGTGGCCTCAATTAAGGAAGAGGTATTGGATGGTAAGATATAGAATATTAGATAGATATTTAATGATAGACAATAAAAGTATCAAAAAATTGCTGATTTTACTATATTGGTGATTAGCAGCATTTTTTAAACTATCTAATGACCTAATGTTACATTTTCAGATAACAGCTTTCACGTGTTTTACTTGTTTTATTCTTGGAATTCCGATGTGTTTTAGTGGCGGTGTTTACTTACTAACACTTCTAGACTGGAACACTGCTTCATGGGCCATTCTTCTCATCGGCATGGCAGAGGTAAATTTGTTCATTCATTTTATAAATGTAATGAATTAAAGTAAAAACGAAGGCTTCATAACGTACAACCATTGGAATTACCCACCATAATACCCCACCATAGCACTTCTGTATAAAAGAATAACACCAGGGTGGTCTGAAAAGTTTCCGACCTCATCCTGAATATAGTAGCACTCATCAATAAATGATAGTGGTTATAGTTTTACATCTGTTGACAATCACGCACAAAACTTTCAGCCATTTTGGACGCGTAGTTTTTATTCGACAGTTTGAGTGAGTAAATGTGAGTGTTTTTGTGAAAATGGATAAAATTGTGTATCGAGCTGTTATTCAATTTTTGTTTTTGAAAGACAACAATACGCCTACGCAAATCAAAGACGAGTTGGACTCTGTGTATGGAGACAGCAACATCATTTAGCACAGTGAATTTTTGGGCAGCTGAATTTAAACATAGCCATGAGAGCTTGGGAAACGACGAAAGTTCGGGTCGTCCAAAAACTGCAACTAGTGACGATAACATCGCTAAAGTTTACCAAATTGTGCTAGACGACCGCCCAATTAAGGTGAAAGAGATATCAGAGGCTATGAGGATGACTAAAGAACGTGCTTGTCACATATTAAATCAAGATTTAGGCATGAGAAGAGAGAGCTGTCAGGGCGTTGGTTGCCGCAACATTTCCAAAGCTCTGTTGACGCAGTTTAGGCACAGTAAATCCGAGGCGCTGATTAATTACTGTAAATGAAACATGGATACTTACACTATTATACGCCCGAAACAAAAATACAGTCAAAACAGTGGACTGCATAGCTGAAACCGGCTCCAAAAAAAAGCAAAAACTGTTTCTCCGGCTGGGAAAGTGATGGCGGCTATTTTTTGGGATACTAATGGAGCTATCTTAATCGATTATCTTCAAAAAGGAAAAACAATTACAGGAGCATACTACGCATCATTACTTGACAAATTGAAGGCAGAAATTGCGGAAAAATGGCCACATTTGCAGAAAAAGAAAATCCTGTTTCACCATGACAACGTGTCGTCTCACACCTCAGCGGTTGCCATGGCGGAATTACGGTTTGAACTGCTGACCATTCACCTAACTCACGTGATCTAGCGCGAGCAACTTGTTTTTGTTCCCTCATCTAAAAATTGCGCTCCAAGGACAGTAATTTTCGTCAAATGAGGATGCAACTACCTATGTAAACAAATATTTTACAGAGAAAATCTGCAAGTACTATTTGGACGGGTTAAAGAGATGGTAGCATCGCTGGGAAAAGTGTATAGAGTTACAAGGAGACTATTTACAAAAATAAAAATTAATTTTAAGACTAAATAACTTGTATCTTTGTGAGGTCGGAAACTTTTTAAAACACCCACATAATAAGTAATAGTCGGACGAAGTAAGGGTTCTTGATTAAAGGAAGGGTTTGAAGGCACGTAAACGTTTTCCGCACTTCCCCAATATGTGTTAGCAGACTTTATAATCCCATCAAATTTTTTAATTTCTTAGACATGTAGTTTTTATTGCGATATTTACCTTTATCGCCAAACACTTGAAAAATTTATATTACAGTTTATAAATATATTGCATAAAAACTAAGTCATATTTTATTGAACAAATATACTGCATTGAAAATAAATTTATTTTTTATTATTTTAATATGTTTTCCAAGATAAATACATGAAATACTAACTTAACTTATATTAAATTTAATTTACTATTCGTAAAGTAAATCTAAAATAAATAAAATGCATTTAACAACACATTTACGTTACAATTAAAATTTGTTTTAGAAATATTTATTTATTTAAACTATTGTTAACACCTTAACTAAGGAGTCACAAAGAGTGGACTCATTGCCTTTGGGCATTCCCTCCCAATCATCTCTGGGTGTGGTGAGATAATGTGATAGGTGTATTTTATGTAAACGCAGTTTGTTAAAAAATAATATATTTAACACAATAGATGTTATAAAAGAATATATTTTACTTTATTTTATTTCAAAATATGTAGGGAAACCTGTTTCATGAGCTTTGCTTCGTCTACTATATTTATTTATTATACATTAAATTTATTAAAAAATTCCAAAGAATTCATTAAATTTTTTAGAATATGTAAATTTTTAAATTAAACAAAATTAGGAATAAATTTTTCTTGAATAATATATAGATCGTAACTTTGAAATAAGAAAATATCACAATTTTTATGTATTTTTCTACATGCAAAGAGGTAATGACTTTTTTCATGTTGACTTGAGTAAAAGATTAGTTTTATAAAGGCTTAAATGTAGCTTGCAACCCTTACTTTTACTACCCATTTTTTTTACAAATTATTTAGCCTTCCCTCTAAGAGTAACTCATAACTATTTTAATATAAAATTTAGAAAAATCTCTTACTTTGCATACAGCTCGTATTAAAGTTATTACTTAACAGCCCTGTAGCATTTAAATTTAAGATATAACTAGAGATATATTAAGCCTCGTGAAATATAGATACACCGATAATTTTTTTGATAAATTAAATAAATTATAAAACATATAAACTTTGATTAAATTTCTTTTTCGTAAAGGTAAAGGACAGAATTATATAGTATTTTTTTATCTAATTAAAACGTGAAGTAAGTAGGCGATAAAACTGGTTATGATAATCAGAGAGCAGATATTTATTGAAAATGCGAATCGCATTCAGTAGCTTATCTTAATCTTCATTGATTGATATTATTTTTAATATATTAATATTGCAATTATTAAAAGATGATATCAATACGTTATATTATTTACTTATTAATATGATGCAATTTTAGAGTATAGCTGTTGCTTGGAGCTATGGAATAAATAGAGTAATGAAGGATTTAGCTTCTATGAACATGAAACTCAATAAAGTGTTAAGATTTTATTGGAAAGCAGCCTGGACAGTCACCGTACCATTATCAAGTCTTGTAAGTTACGCTACTCTGTTTACAATAAATATTATTTACATAAACACCTAATTTAAAACTTAAGACAATCTTATTTATTTAAAACAATAGCGTTCCTTGAACACATAATAAACACATGAACACTCACGCCTGTCACCCAGAGCGGAACGCAGAGACTACAGACTCCCATTTACCATGATCCTGACGTACCTCTCTCCCCCCCCCTCCACATCCATATATCTACGCATACGTGCTCGTCGGTTAAAAGTACTCTTACGAACTGAAATTTGAAGTTTGAAATTGGCGGCACTGAAAATTTCGGGAATCAAGGAAGTGACACAACACTGCTATTTAAAAATGTATTTATTGCTTTTCGAAGTATTCTCCGCGAAATTTGACACATATTTAGGAGCAATCAATGAAGCAACAATTCCATTCGGAAGTTGGGGTCTCCAAAATGGCCGTTTTGTAGGCGTCCACAGCTTCTTCATGTGATGAAAATCTCCGTCTAAGCAATCTATTCTTTATTTTAGGGAATGTATAGAAATAATTAGGGCTTAGCTCGGGGCTGTACGGCAGATCAGATGGTTTAATAATTCTATGTTTTCTTGCTCTAAAAACTCTTTTGTTCTGTGTGCGGTGTGAGAACTCGTATTGTCGTGATGGAGGATGATGCGGCGGTTGCAATTCTCTTTACGGAGTTCAGAAACGACCTGTGGCAAACAAATGCTAGCATACCATTCTCCATTAACCGTTCTTTGTCCCTCAAGAGGAATAGTCGTAACATGGCCGGTTTTGGAGACAAACGTGATCACCATTTTTTTTGCAACACTCCTTGATCGAAAAATTTTTATTTGATTTAACTCATTTTCGAACACCCAAACTCTTGACTCTTTTTTTGTTTCGAGTTCGTACGCGTATATCCATGATTCGTCACCTGATACGATGTTGTATACAGCATTTGAGGATCCTGCGTTGAATTTTTCGAGAGTTCTGACGCACCAAGTAACGCGAGGCGCTTTTTGCTCTTCACAGAGCGAGTGCGGCTCCATCGGGAAAACAACTTCTTTACACCTAATTGTTCATGCAAGATTATTTGTATTTGACTCATGCCAATTTCTAAAGTTACCTGAATTTCGCGGTATGTCACATGTCGATCTTCCTCAATTAGCTTACGCACATCATCAACGTTTTCTTGGGTGACTGCAGTTTTTGGACGACCTTGACGTAGATCATCACTGAGCTTGACACGCCCACGTTGAAGTTCAGCAAATCAGCGATAAATTGTGGTTTTGGATGGGGCTTCATCACCAAATGCAGAAATCATCCGGTCCACACACTGTTTTTGTGTTAAACCACTTCGAAAGTCATAATAAATCATCGCTCTTGAATTTTCTCGAGTCAATTCCATTTCCTCAAGACTGAGAATCTTTTTTTAAATCAATAAATGGAATTCGATTTTTAAAACCAAGGAGTTTTCAATCAAAAAGATTTTAATATGACAGGAACAGTGGAAATATTCCATTCCCGATACTTTTAGTGCAGCCTAGTAATTTGGCCCATTTTTAATATGTCGTCAATTCGGTCGACAAAACTTTCGCATAGGACGTCTCTTTCCGACTTTTCCATTTACTTCTGCAACATATATTTGCTTTGTCAGTTTTTCCTCATTCATTCTTTCTACATGACCAAACCACCGAAGCATTACTTTCTTAATCCTGGTTACCACGTCATCTTGCAAACCACATTCTTATTTTATCACACAGTTTCTCACCCTATCACTCAGATTCAGCCCCAACATACTCCTTAGTGACCGCATTTCTACTGCACTTGTTCTACTCTCGTGCTTCCTCTGCCACACCCAACTTTCACTACCATACGTTAAAGTAGGGACTAATACAGCATGGTGAATTGCCATACGTGCTTTTTTTGACACATTCTGACTTTTCACAATAGAGTGTAGATCCCCGTTTACTTTATTTCCTGCATTCAATCGTTGTTCTATATCCTTTTTATATCTCCTATCCTTGCTGAATACATGTGTATTCAGCAAGGATGGGAGTATATAATAAAAATATACAAACTCATCTATTTGCTCGACCATTTCCCCTTCTATTATTATTTCACATATCATTTTATTTTCTTCTCTTTCAAAAATTATATCTTTCGTCTTACTTGAATTCGCTTTCATTCCCTTTTCTTTTATTGACCTGTTCATTAATGTAACCGTCATTTGAAGCTCGGCCGCCGACGACGCAAATATGACTTGAACTATAAAAATAAATATCATGTACACATAGCAGTTTGTCAGCCATGTTTGGCAAAGAGGGCAACACGCAGGCAGTGCGTTTGGTTTCCTATCGCATGATATTAAGGTTTGCTCGGATAACTATGGAGTCCAAAACTTCTTAAGTAAAAGTATTATAGTTCTCGATTTATTAAAGTCTGAAAAGTACCGGGTACTATAACATAATGATTTATGTGTCACAAACAAAAACTATTTCTAGATTGTTAATAACATTAAAATTTAATAATCTGAGAGGTAGAAAATTTAAATACTACAAATTTTCGATGTTTGTGCGATTAGTTTCAACTGCTTGAAACTTTCTGCATTTAATTCCAAATTACAATATTAATGAATTTATTAATCAAACAAATGTATTATATTTTAACAATAATTATATTAAAATAGATTTTGATTAGTACTTGGGTGTAATTGTTGACCACAATCTTTCCTTCAAACAGCATATCTCATACCTCTCAAATTGAGTCAAGAGGGTTATTTACATAATGAAGTTGCTCAGGAACTGTGCTGATAAAAAGACACTTCGTATGGTTTATTTTGCCCTCTGCCAATCCTTAATACAATATTGTATATCAGCTTGGGGTGGTGCCTCCAAAACGACGATATTGCAGTTGGAGAGGGCACAGAGAGCAGTTCTCAAGGTCATGTATAAAAAGCCCTACCGGTACCCTACGGCCGATCTTTATCGGGATAGCGAGGTTTTGAGTGTACGCCAGTTGTATATTCTATCCGCAGTTTTAAAAACCCATGGGCAAGTAATTCAGTCGCCTATTTACGACAACCTAATCACTAAACGAATATTTAAAATCCCAATTCCGACTGCCAGGTCTGTTTTCGTGCAACGTCTTCCACAGTTCTCACATCCTCATATATATAACAAAATACTTAAAGTCTGTGACATCAAAAATTGCACCACTTTGAAAGCTAACAAAAAAGATATATCACCACACTAAATTATAATGATACCGAAAACTTAATATTAAAGCAAAAATAATACCAAATTATATCTACGTTTCACACTAAAATATTGTATTCATATTTTTTCCTAGGAATAAAAAATAAATATTAATATAAGCGACAAATACTTAAAAACTATCTTCCTAAATTAAGAAATAATTTGTTGTTCTAAATAATTTTGGGTACTTTTAATTACGTAAGTAAAACTGATAACCGTACTCCTGGTCCCCAAGATACAGGCTATGCCTAGTTTGGGGCCCGCCAGTACCTTTTTTATATGTAATAAGAATTTATATGTAATTAGTATTTAATTTAATATAATATAAGTTAAAATTAATTTAATATAAGTCACTTTTTTCCCAATGTTCAGGTCTGTAGCTCTATTTCTAGGAATAAATGATTTTTATTTTTATTTTTTATTATTTTATTAAGATAAAAACGCAAGAAAAACTTTGAATATTATGTTTTTTTTTAGAGTTATTAAAGTCTGAAAAGTACCGGGTACCATAACATAGTGATTTATGTTTCACAAACAAAAACTATTTCTAGATTGTTAACAATATCAAAAATTTAATAATCTGAGAGGTAGAAAATTTAAATACTACAAATTTTCGATATTTGTGCGATTAGTTTAAACTGCTTGAAACTTTCTGCATTTAATTCCAAATTACAAAATTAATCAATTTATTAATCAAACAAATGTATTAACTATTTTAACAATAATTACAATAAAATAGATTTTGATTAAGCCAAAAACGCAAGAAAAACTTTGAATAATATGTTTTTTTTAGATTAATAAAATGATAAAAAGTTACTATAAAAATAATGATATCCCGTCTTTTTTTTTCAATAAAATATTAGTAATCTTATTAATTAACATTACTAATATTCCTTTTAAGGCGCACCTCTTTTCATAAAATAGTATAGGACTATGACACCACTAACGAAATTGCAATTTTGATATAAGTAAATTCATGTCTTTATCTTGAATTTGGTTGTATAATTTTGACTCGATCATAATTATTTGCGAAAACACCTCTAAACAATCACTATAGTTGAAATTACAACACCTCTTTTCATCAAGTAGTATAGGACCATGACACCACTAACGAAATTGGAATTTTGATATAAGTAAATTCATGTCTTTATCTTGAATTTGGTTGTATAATTTTGACTCGATCATAATTATTTGCGAAAACACCTCTAAACAATCACTATAGTTGAAATTACAACGAAATTACTTAATCTATATGCTTGGGAATCACTCAAATATATTCATAACATCAATATTCATAATTTACTTGTTCATTATTTTGATTACTTAAATCAATAATTTTTAAAAAAATATTTTAAGATTCTCTGAAAATTTCTAAGCGCTACGCAATTTTAGACCTTATGACGGCGTTTTTTCAAGTTTTTAAAGAAATTATCTATTCACTCGGATCAGTACGGCGATAGCCTGGAGCCACTTTTTCGATGTGTCGTCTTAACCACTCCTGGTAAGCTTGAAACGCTTGTGTTAGGAGCGGTTCATGACAGTAGTCAAATGGCGGATTCGAACCCACGACCTTTTGAGTTCGCGATCCGCACCCTGCCATTAGGCTACCGTCGTAAGCAAAGTTAATAAATTAAAAGAAATATTTTTTTCAAACAACCTTTTAAAATATAAAATATAAATATATATAAAAGCTTTTAAAGCAACTTTTCTTTTAAAACTTTTACTATCAACTTATAACGTCATTACACAATTTATATGATTGATACAAAGCTTGTCACGAGATTAAAGTAATGGTATTTACTAAGTTTTAAAATTTTAAAAATTAAAATCAATCGGGTCAAGTTATTTAATTTACTTGTTTATATACACAGGTAAATCTCGCTACAAGCTTTTATATCATGTATATTGTGTAATGACGTTATAAGTTGATAGTAAAAGTTTGAAAGGAAAAGTTTATTTTATTCTTCTTAGCGCATTTAAATAAAAGCCTGTTTTTTAAAAAGTTTTTTCTTTTTATTTAATTTTTAGTTATTTTAACTCGCATTCGTATTCTCAGCAAGTTCTTCCATTTGATACCCATGCTGTAGGAAAGCATAAAATTTTAATCTGCCGTCTTTAGAAATCCGTCATATTGGATGCAGAGTGTCGTCACTTTATTTTTCCGAGTTATTCTCAGCAAGCACTTTTATTTGATATCCATGTAATTGTAGGGTTTCATTAAAAATAACTAGTTCGTAATCTTCCGAGTTCCGCTGTGCTGGATTTAAAATGACTTCACACAGCTTACCATGTATTGTCATCCAAACACGTGTATACAAAACTTAAGCTTCATCGGTTAAAGATATCTGCTTCAAAGTTGAGTTGCAATATTCCACCCGAACAAACACAGTTACATACATTGCAAGTTAAATAAAAGTTTGTAAAATGGGGACTAGTTCGGTACAAGCATAGAACATAATATAGCGTTAAAGGTTATAAACAACGGTTGAAGTTTTCGGCTTTTCCGGTAGAGTTGATATCTGAATCATTATTAAGTCCTGCAACAGCCCCCTAAATCAGCTTTAGGAATTTACAACGTTCTTCAAATGATTAAAAATAAAACTTGTTATGATAAGTATATACATACTTTCAGAACTATGTAGTGACAGTGTATCGTAAAAGGCCTTTTATATGCGAAATGAACTTGGGAGATGGGCAATCTCTTACTGAGAACAAATCAAAATAATAAAAAAACTGTAGTTCCACCAACCCGCCTACCAAACGTGCCAACTATGTCAAATATACTATAAAATGCAATCTATATATGAAAATGTGGCTATTCGTTCGTTCAAAGGAATATGCCTGAAAGACGGAACACACTGTCTTACACAGTCATAAATAGTAATTTTTAATGTAGTAGTCTTATCTACATAGATGAAGAGGCTATTGACTTAGGTTTTTATGACACCAGATATCAGACTCCAAATTAAAGTTTTGACTCGAAAGGTAATCTCCTCACCATTCATACACGATGGCAATAGAGATAAATACTTTGGACTGCTCATAATCATACCTCCCATTCGAAGCGCAAGCACCGATGTCACAGATAATATGTACGAATAGCTTTATGTAGTGTTTACGACGATAACATATCAATTTTTAATTTTATTTGTAATCTCTACAAATGAGTTTTTTTTAATTACATTAGTTTTATTTTTTATTATTTGTCATTTTATTTGTACTATTAAATAAGAAAGATTTTTTATTCTAATTAAACAACTACCTGACTGACCTGATATCAGAAACATGAACTGTGCATCAGTCTTAATTTATCCTCAATTAAGAATCGAAATGCAGATGCGTTGTCACTCCTGTGGATTAGGATGGAATAACTCGTTTCCAGGAAAATGGGTCTCCGGTTCTCTCCAGTCACCATACGAATTAAAGTAGTATTTACCGCAGTAATCTATGAAATGCGGTCCCAGACCGAGACGACCCATTTGTGCTTCAACATAATAATAACCAATATAACTGTATCATGGCTAATTATTAAGCAAAATATTGTCAAGGAAATTTAGTATAAAGCGTTTCTTATGTATTCATATTGTATAACAAAAATTAAATACAACTAATTTCTTTAAATTTCTAAAACACCATAATGATTTTCACAATTTTATGTTGCAGGCAGTTTTAATATTTATATTCTCTGACTGGTCGCCACCGTCTTACGAAGGATACGTATTTCCATTATTTGCCGACCTTCTTGGTTGGGCTATTGGACTATCGACCTTGGTTTTGTTTCCTGTTGGTGTTGGTTGGGCTTTATACAAAGGATATGTACGTTCATTTTTTTTTAAATTATTCCATTTAATTGAATTACGAAACCTTTCAATAATATGAACATTTATGTTGTCCTGGTCGATTAAAATCGCGTAGTAGTAACGGCACAGCATAAGAAAATCAATCGGTCAATTTAATCCGTGTATTTCGTAAGAGTGGATTATGAGAAATGTCAGAAAGATCTCTTGGCACACCACGGGTAGCAGAATAACCATCTAGTTTACACTGAACGTAAAATACCAAATCCATTGACGGGAACCAGGGCATTACGTGCGATTTCTAATCTACCTGCCGAATGTAGTGTCAAAACCAATTTTTTCCTAAAAAAAAGAAAGGCTTATGGCCTGCAGTGGATTTCTGTGAGCTGTTGTGTTGATATTTTTATTACAGCCAAAATATAGTCGGATGTTACCGACTGCGAAGGTCATATTAATATGCTACAATTGTATAAGTGAGACACAGTCATTTACTATCAATTTACACTTAATATCCTAAGCACTTACCCGGCAAGTTTATAAATTCAGACGTTACCGAAAATACAAGACCTAGAATTTACATGTTTAACTAATATGAGATATTTTATATTTGTAAGTATTTATGACTCGACCTTGCGACATATAACACACGCATCCTGAGGACTCTGGAGTTGGAAGAAGAAATAGATAAGATTTGCTAGATTATTATGGAATTATTCGAGGTCCCAAGGGAAGTGGAAGACACGGTAACCCTCGAATCCGGCAATTTATTCTATCAACGGGATGCAACTGGCCTCTGTCCAAAGGAGGTATCGGATTTATCGTCAACAATGATCTCGTTAACACCGCTGTAAAGATTGGGAGTGTGTCTCGGTCTCCGACTCAGAATCACCAAAGGGTATTCGCTGAGGGTCACACCGGTTTATGCGTCAATCTCGGCACATCCCGATGAGGGGTGGAGGAAATATTTGAGGATATATCTAGAGCCATGCATTCCTCAAAAACCCAAAATACGGTGTTAATAGGATATTTTAACGCAAATTTAGGCGCAAGAGAAAACGGTGCTGAAGCTAGGGAAATTTGGAATAGGGCAATGGAACCCAAGGGGGGCTGGCAGAATTCGTGGCGAAAGAAGAAATTTTTACGATTTTTACGATGAAATCTTTCTTCCAGAAACGGCCCCATATGAACTGGACCTTGTCAAGCCCCGACGGTTCAACAAAAAAAAAAGAGATTGACTCTCTCAGTAATGTCTCAGTGATTTCGATGGTGAAAATTGGTAATGATCACCAAATGGCTAGAGACACACCTAACCTAAAAGTTAAGTTTGAGATAACACGAATAAAGTTAATGCTCCCCCTTGTTCCCTGATCCAAACTTCTGAAAATTTTCTGCTCGAGTTGTAAAACCGTTTTTAATTTCTGTAATAATGTGGACGACATGAATGACAAGCCCGTGAAAACTGTCCCTGCGGTTGGAGCTAAGTTCAGCAAGACACGCCGTAAAAGAACATAGAAACTCTTCAGTCACTCTCTTAATCTCATGGCTGTTATAAGGGAAATGAAGCAGCAGTCTTCAAGAGATTTGAGAGCATACAGGCAACAGAACAGACAGATATCCATATGCATGCGGTGGGTCTTGCGCAACTTCAATATAGCTCGTATTAAATAATCAATCGAGTAGAACCAGGGCTCCAAAGTCTTTACCAGAGGTTTGTCTGCCAGAAAGAGCCAAATATGAAAGACCAAGTGTGGCAGCATTGTTTTCGGGACACATGAGATTTTGATTGAGATTCATATATTTACACACACACACACACACACACAGACACACAAGTATGAGTAACGATGGAATAGGAAGTCTTATCTGACGTTATCCCGATGATATCTCGAACCTTAGTCTGTACGAGATTAGAATAGCTCCAAGTGCCTATAAAACAGCAAGGCCCCAGGCGAGGATGGAATTACAGTGGAGCTTATGAACGCGGGTAGAAAACGGGTACTTGAAGTCTTGCAAAATCTCGTCAATTTTCCCCTCACGGTGAAACCACGCCGGAGGTGTGAAGCAGAAGTACTGTGGACTTAATCTTCAAGAAAAGCGACAAAGCTCTCTGGAAGAACTACATACCGATTTCCTATTTGAACCACGTCTATGTGCCGTTTTCGAGAGTCAATACGAATTGTCTCACACGTAGATTAAACGACTTCCAGTCTCCGGAATTAGCCGGTTTTTAAATAGGCTTTAGAACCATAGACCACGTATATACTAATTGGCAAATTGTTCAGAAGTTCTAAAAGTACAAACTGCCACTTTGACTTATGTATGTGGACTATGAGAAAACTTTCAATTCCGCCGAAATTTGGGCGGTGCTATAGTTTCTTCAGCTGCGCCAAGTTTACGGTCGGTATATCAAAGTGCTGTATTGTTTGCGCAATAGAGCAGCGATGGCTAACTGAGTACAAAACAGAGTACTAATCCTATCCAACTGCAGCGAGGTGTAAGACAGGGTGACGTTATATTCCCGAAATTCTTCACCGCTGCATTAGAAAACGTTTTTTAGAATCTGGAATGGAAAGGATACGGTATTAACATCGATGGCGAGTACATTACTTACCTTCGATTTGCCGACGATATAGTTCTTATGAAAGAATCGCTGGAGGACCTAAGCACTATACTCAATGACATCAATAGCACCTCACTCCCAAGGCGTATAGTTCTTAAGATGAACATGGACAAAACAAAAATCACGTATAGCGTCCTTCTCACACTTATGCCAATATTTGTTGGGAGCACTAAGCCCGAATTTGTTGATCAGTCTATTTACACGGGACAAACAGACCGACACGTCCGTCTTTGACCGAGAGGTCAATCGACGCATTCAACTTGGCTGGGCAGCGTTCGGAAAATTACGTCAAGTATACCTCAAAATTTGAAAACGAGATTGTACAACCAGTGCGTGTTGCCAGTGATCACTTATGGATCTGTGACGTGGTCCTTCACTGCTGGCCATATCAAGAAAAGTAAAGTAAAGTAAAGTTACAGCCTATATACGTCCCACTGCTGGGCACAGGCCTCCCCTCATTTCTGAGAGGGTTTTAGGGCAAGGAAGTGTCCGCCGCGCTGCCCCAATACGTGTTGGCGAACTTCACATGTCTTCGAATTTTTTTTCTTATTTCTCGGACTTGCAGGTTTCCTCACGATGTTTTCCTTCACCGCCGAGCACGTGGTAAATCAGCACTTAAAATTGCAATTAACAATTTCATTGGTGCCGGCGGGGATCGAACCCGGTTTGCTCGCGTACTGTCAAATTTATAGCGAGCGCTAACCATCTGAGCTACCACGGCTCTATCAAGAAACTCATGATTTATTCAGCGAGCTATGGAGAGGATGACTCTATTTCTCGCTGAGTTCAGGGTTTCTCTGCGTGATAAACTTATAAAAGACGATATTCGCTGTAGCCCCAAAGTACAATGTATTAGTAAGCTGAAATAGCAGTGGGCTGTCTATATAGCTCGAAGAACCGATAGGGATAAAATTTTCTCAATCCGCAGCCTCGGAGTGGTAGCTTAATTGTAGGACGACCCCCACTAGGTGGAGTGACGACTTGAGAAGACATGCAGGAAGTCGATGGATGCAGGTGGATCAGGATCGTGCTTTGTGGCATTCCTTTGAGGAGGATTATGTTCAGCAATGGACTTGTGAAAGGCCGTAATGATGATGACGTAATGATTAAAGTATTTGCTGCTGACGTAATGTAGACGTCTATTATAAAATTTGTAGTGGAAGTTATTGAATTAATTAGTTTTCCTCCGTTCTGCAGGAAGTAAAGGAAACCACAATTTACTCAAAACATTTTGTCTGTTACAGAGAGGCAAGGAATTATTTACACCAACCGAAACCTGGAAACCAGCCGCAAAGTCTTTAGTCAGCTTGGGTAGTAACGCTAATTCGCTTCCTGATTCAAATCATCAAACCTTTGATAACGTGGGCTATATGTGAAAAAATATGATAACATGTCGTTCTTAAAAATATTTTTTTTCTTCAGAAACGTCTGTTATCCTAAAAACAAAAACAAATCCGTAATAAAAACAATTCATTTGTTTTTGTTGTAAATTGTATTTAAAACAAATAGTTTTATTGAAATTCAATCTAAATATTTTTTCTTTTTAAATTAAAGCATAATTTCTTCTTCATTTTAGGTAATAGGATTCCTTTTATGCCTAGGAGCTTTGTGGGTTCGTACCATTTCTTACTTATTTCTGCCACCAAATAGCAGTGCAGTGCCTGCACTGCTATGTTCCGTTGTGAATATTGAAGATAGCCAGTATAATGTAAGAATACAGGTTGTGTGGCACATTACAAAAAAACCCTCAGAAATGATAAGCGTCTGTAGCCTGCTTTCTTTGAAATTGCCTGCCTGTGTACATGAATAGCTGTAGCCACTTACCATGAGGTGGACTGCAATTTTATTTAAATAAAACCGGCCAAGCGCGTGTTGAGCCACGCACAATGTAGAGGTAAGGTTCCGTAGTTGCCCGTCATAATACGTGGGCTATCTTGTAATGAGCGTATTGAGTTTGCGGTTTCATCGCTATAATGACTAAAAATGGGCCTTTAAAAAACGATGGTAACTTAATGACTTATTTTAAAATCAGACTTATAGGGTACCTGGTATCCAAAAAAGATTACAAAAACTTCTATTTTGAAAATAATACAATCTACATCTTTTTATTTTTTATCTTTTTTATTTTTTATACTAGTAATTCTATTAATGAACATTACTAATATTCCATTTAACAAAGCTTGTAAGCTTAAAACGCTTGTATTAGGAGTGGTTCACGACAGTAGTCGAATGGCGGATACGAACCCACGACATTGTGAGTTAGCGGTACGCGCCCTGCCATTAGGCAACTGTCGCTTCTAATCATTCACATGCCAAGTCCGTACAAAGTTGGTCGTATGACCGGAACGAAGCTTCCTGTAAACCATCACTGCTCTAAACTATCCTGGTCGCTCGAATTACACTGTATGAGGCTATGTGATTGTATGAATATATTTTGAATGAGGCATACAATAACTACCAATTAATAAATAAGCAAAAGTATTAACTAAGTAAGAACGATCTAAGTAGCAAATAAGTAAGAGAGATCTGCCCTGCCTATCCCGCATAGGAAAAATAAACTATATATACTATAATAGTAATGCATAAGTCATTTTCTCCATAGAAAGATTATTTCCTACAGTTCACATACACATTATAAAGTTGTAATGCAGCTAGTTTTAGATCATTTTCTATGGAGTTGTAACGAAATTTTTACTAATCCAAGTTTTTTTTTATAATATTATCTGATTACTCGTTAACTTGTTAATTCTATTGAGCTGTGATAGTTTTCCTTTTAACTTGAATATGTATACCACTATCGAGTATACTTTCACATTTCCAAATAAAGTGGTTTAGGTGGTAGATGGCGAGACACATTACTCTTAATGAATAATACAAATTTAAAGCTAAATATTTATCAAACGGACGTATAATATTTGATCTTGGAAGTTATTACTATGGTATTTTACGATTATTACATTACATTTACATTTTAATTACAATAGGATAAATAATTACACGAATATTTAAACTTCGGCCGTATTTATATTCTCTTACTTTTTTATAGGATAACAATAAACGAGCACACAGTCCACCTAAAAGTAAATAGATGCTGTAGCCCATAGACATCTACATCTATCCTAGATTACGAATCAAAATGCAGATGCGTTGTCACCCGTGAGGACTAAGACGGAATGCCTCGTTTCCAGTAAAAAAGGTCTGCGGTTCTCTACACTCACCGCACGAAATACTGCAGCATGAAGCTACTATTTTACGCTGGTATTCTGTGAGAGCGTGGTCATCCTCCAGTTCAGCCGACATATTCGTGCTACAACTATACGTAGGTCACTCAATAAGTTTTGAGATGCTTGAAATTTAAAAACGGAACGTACCCGTGTTATATGTTTCTAAAAAGCAAACTTATTAAAAAATAGAACTCCATGAGCCGATTGCTCAACATTAAAAAAAAAAAACAAAGTTCTTTTAACTTTCCTGCAACGCTTCCCGCGCTTTTCATTTAAAACGATGGCTCTTAACCGTGAACATTGAGCATGATATGATCTATTATGATTTTAAATTTGGTTTAACCGAACAATTAAGTTTAAAACAGTTACAATCAGCATAACGTGACTCAGTTTCATCACGCGCAACAATTTTTAGATGGTTTGCTGAATTCAAAATTCGTAAAATTAACCTTAAAGATGACCAAAGAACCGACTCTCCGCAGACAACAGTAACGGCAGAAAATGGACTACTGAAATTTTGTTGCGAGAAAACCCACGAATCACATATACGGACATCGAAAAGATTGTAGGCAATTAGTTCGGGGAGCGTTCATACCATTCTAGATCAACATCTTGGAGTGAGAAAGCTTTGTTGTAGATGGACCCCTCGTTTGGTCTCCAAAAGCGGAAAACAGAGTCGTGTGGATTGGTGCCATGAAATGCATCTACGTTTTGGAAACGGGGCATCTAGTCATGTGTCAGAAATCGTTACTGGTGATAAGACATTGATCTATCAATATGATCCGGAAAATAAAAGACAATCATCGGTATGAGTCTACTCAGAAGGAGTTACGGACAAAACTGCGACGACCTCGCAACGTCGGTAAAAAAATGGTGGCTAGTTTTTTTTTTTGCGGAGCGGTCATTTGTCTACGTCAGTGCTGGAAAATCGCAGTTCAGTCAACTCTGAATAGTATACTACAGTTGCATTACCCAAAACTTTCCTAGCAGTGTGGGAGAGAAGACCAAAAATCGAGTTTCGGGGAATCACTCTGTATCACGATAACGCCTCTTCACATACCTCCCTTAGAACACTACAGCCCTGACTTAGCTCCTTGTGATTTCTTTTTTGTTCCAAAGAGTCAAAGAAAAAGTAAAAGGCAAGTTTTTTTTTCAAGCGCCTAAGAAGCCGTGGCTGCCTAGGAAGAAGCGATTTCCGACCTGTCATATCAAGACTGGCAAAAGTGTTTTCAGTGTTGATTTAGGTGAATGGAACTTTGTATAGAGCATGACGGAGAATATTTTGAAAGGATGTAAAATGAATATTAATAGTATCTAGAATACCTTTTGTATATCTCAAAACTTATTTAGTTTCCTACGTACTACTAATATAACTGCAGCATGGCTCTACCACGTATAACATTAATTGTAATTTTAATTTAATTAATATTATAATTGATTTTATTAATAAAATTTTATTTTAATTTTATTAATAATAATAAAAATTAATTATAATATTTATAATTAAATTAAAATATTAATTATCTCTATACCTGTCTCTTTCCATTGTTATTTAGTGAAATGACAGAGAGCAACTTCACTTTTAAGATTCCGTTGTTACACAACAAGGAACCCTTATAGTTTCGCATTGTCGCATTTTTAGAAGTATTCGCAGTTTACTCATAAACCCTAGTTGTTACAAATCTGTAAATTGGCACAGTTACAGATATCAATTATGCCTACAAAACTGTGAAATAAAATCTTGAAAAACATTTTTATTTTGGGTATATCCTATGCAAATGAATGGACGATGGTTATTTTTACCCGTCTATTCCATCGTGTGGGGTGTCGTTGGATCTTTGTATAGGTCTTTCAAAGACATTGAGGCTTTGGAAGAATATCTTTTTGATTAAGGATTCGTTTGCGAAATATATTGAACTTTAAATTTGTATTTTTCATTATAGTAATGTATCCCCCTATACCTACTAAAACGCTGTTTGAAAATCGACTTATATGCTTTACTATAATAGCTTAACTTTTTCTTCGCCAGATAGACCGGAAGGACCTTTCTAACTTACTTTCTACTTTTGCTTATTTTTTAGTTGGTAGTTATTGTAGGCCTCATTCAAAGTGTTCATACAAACAGATAGCCTCTTACAGTTTCATTCGCAACACTCTTGGTTTACGCGGGCGACCCTCAGTATAATTTTACTGTTTATGTTCCTAAAAGAAACTGATACTACAAATAGTACACAAGCGTAACGGTTTCAAAAATAAGATGTTTTTAATATGATAGAGATGCAGTTCGTAACATAAATATAAAAGTAATAAATAGCAGAATTTAATCTATTAGTCAATCTTAGGTTATTCAATTACTCAGTGGCGTAAATTTCACTGTATGCAAGCAACCGGGGTTAGATCCATCTATTTTATATTGTTATTTAATATATAATATTAAGGTGCTAATTTCAATGTCTGTACTGGGAGGACGACTCACTCGCCCATGCCGCAAAGAAGAAAGCCGGTCTGCCAGACTCTTTCTAATCGTCTTTCTTTACTCTCGACGACGGGGGAGCACACCGCCGACCATCCGGCGGTGTGCACGCCTATCGCCATCACCTCCTTGTTCTTCAAATCAATGGAGTCCATTGTAAACTTTCAGCTCATGAGGTACCCTGAGGATCACCAACTGATTAGTGATCGTCAATACAGTTTTCATCGTGTTCGATCAGCTGGTGGCCTACATTGCGAAGGCCTTCGATCGGGTTTGGCACAAAGCGCTTCTTTTGAAGTTCCCTTCCTATAGGCTACCTGAGAAATTGCGATATTGTATCAACAGCTTTCTTGCAGATCGAAGCATCAAGGTCGTTGTAGATGGTGTAAGCTCCAATTACAAGCCTATTAATGCTGGCATTCCACCAGGCTGCGTGCTATCACCAACGCTGTTTCTTCTGCATATCAATGACATGTTGCATTCATTGCCATGCAGATGACAGCACTGGTGATGCTCTGGACACCGGCCGTACCAATATATCTCGGGAAAACGTCTTCGAGTACTGGGACACACTTGTGTCTGGAGTCTCCGATTGGGGCCGACTAAATCTAGTCGAGTTTAATCCTCAGAATACACAAGTTTGCGCGTTAACCGCTAAAAAGAATCCTTTTGTGGTATC